TAAAAAAACGGAGGAAGTATATATTCATAATTTATTTTTTTTAAATAATAACAAAAATGTGAATAATATAAACTACATTAACTAGTATTACCATTCATGAAATTTTAGGGCAAAATAATAAGATTGTCTTATTAATCAACAAAATAAGGAGCCTATATATAGGCAATACAAAACAGACTCGATAGACGCAAATCTAAGTAATCTAATTTATGAATATGATCAAATCTATATATAAATCTACTAAATCTAAATCTGAATATCTAAAATATCTCAACATCTCCCTCAAACTCAAGTGGTATAACAAAAACCAACTTGAGTTTGATAAAAAATTTGAACATAAATACAAGAAGAAAACATAAATAAAATTAGTATTAGACTCTCCGTTGGAACCGGAAACGAGATGACTTTCCAACCCGGAGCAAAAAATGAGATGATTCCACCGGAGCCGAAAATGAGATGACTCCACCGGACCGGAAAATGAGATGACTCTCCACCGGAGCTGAAAACGAGATGACTCTATCGGAGCCGAAAACGAGATGACTCTACCGGAGCCGAAAATGAAATGACTCAACTGGAGCTGAAAATGACATGATTTCACCGGAGCTGAAAACCAAATGACTCCACCGGAGCCGAAAATCAAATGACTTAACCGGAGCCGAAAACCACATGAATTCACTGGAGCCGAAAACCATATGACCACCGGAGCAAAAAATGAGATGGAAAACGAGATGACTCCACTTGAGCCTAAAACGAGATCATTCCACGGGAGGCGAAAATGAGATGGCCGAAAACGAGATGACTCCACTGGAGTCATAAACGAGATGACTCTCCGCTAGAGCCTAAAATGAGATGACTCTCCACTGGAGTCGAAAACGACATGACTCCACCGTAGTCGAAAATGACATATGGCATATTGCACGTAACAACAGACAGACAACGGACATATGGCAAATCGTTTCAGATCGCTCACAGGCAACAGACAAGCAGCGAAGATTTCAGATTACACACAGGCAACAGACAAGCAGCGGACAGATGGCAGATCGGAGACGAGACGAGATAGATTTGCAAAAAGACAACTTGCAAATGAATGATCACAAAATCACAAGACCTCCGGGTACAATCCAGGTTGAATGTACCCGGAGAAACACGGGTTGGCAGACTATATCTACGGCATGAGAAAAATAGGCTCTGATACCAATGTTAGAAGTTTTTGGGGAAAATAATGAGATTGTCTTATTGATCAACAAAATAAGGAGCCTATATATAGGCAATACAAAACAGACTCGATAGACTCAAATCTAAGTAATCTAATTGTTGAGATATTTTAGATATTCAATTTTAGATTTAGTAGATTTATATCTAGATTTGATCGTATCCATATATTTGAGTTTATTTTGTATTGCCTATATATAGGCTTCTTATTTTGATAATCAAGATGACCATCTCATTATTTTTCTCCAAAATTTCTAACATGGTATCAGAGAATGGTTTTCCAAAACCAAAACCCTAGTCGTCGCCGCCGCTGTTCGCCGTCCATCGCCGGCCCTTCTCCGGTCGTCATTTTTTTTTTTCGGTCGCCACATTCTGCTTTGTTTCCTACGTCGTGGTGTGGTTGGCTTTGTCATCGGAGTTGATCTCGTTTTGCGACTGCTACCTATTGGATTGTTCGATCTACTTTCTTGATTTGGGCTTTGATTTCGTGATTCACATATTTTTATACGTTTTTTTGTTGTGGAGCGTATGGACGTTCATTTACCTATTACTACTATCTTGTCCGGCGATAATTATGATCTTTGGATGCAGTCTATGAAAAGTTTCTTGATTGGTAGGAAGTTATGGCGAATTGTCACTGGCGATATCCGGCCACCTGTCTCTCCATCTCCTTTTGTGCATGTTGATCCCACCTCTCGGGAGCATGAAGATTATGTTGCCAAATTGGAAGATTGGGATAGTAAGAATCTGATGATTCTTACTTGGTTGCGCAATACTTCTGTACTTGCGATTCAGGTATAATTGACTCTTTTTGATACTACAAATGAGGCATGGGATTTCCTCGCTGCTCGTTTTCAGACTACAGGTCTTGCTCATTATTATCAGCATTGGACCACGATGATCTCCGCTCGGCAGCAACCTGGTCAATCTGTTAATGAATTTCTTGCTCAGGTTCAACCTATTCGTTATCGTCTCCGGCAGTCACAAATTAGTCATAACCATCTTGACCTTATTCAGATCTTGATGCCCCTTCAACCTAAATATGAGGTTGTTTGTGCCTCACTTCTACATCGATATCCATTGCCTACTCTCGATGTTGCCATTCAGGAGATTACTTTTGAGGAGACCCGTCTCCAATTGGCTAAGACACCGAGTTCTGATTCTGTTTTAGTTGTGTCTCGCCAGTCCCAATCTACTCGTACTAGATGTCGAGTTTGCAAGTCTCCTGATCACACTTGGTCTACCTGTCCGAAGATTGAGTGCCACTCATGTCTTCTGCGTGGCCATATTGCTCCGGTTTGTCTCACTAGATGTCAACGTTCAGGTAGTTCTGCTCCTAGACATTCCGGTAGCTTTGCTTCCAAACCTCAGGAGCCTAGTGGGTCTTCTTCGAATGCATTTTCTACGATTACGGCTGCTACTACTGATGAGACTCAGTATTCGCCTTACAATCCTCACGACATAGAAGCCATCATCAAACAGGATATGCAAACCAATTCTGCTATGTTTACCACTCCAGGTACATCTACTTAGTATTTTGATTATGGTTGTTATCACCACATGACCTCTAACCCTCGTAACTTGACCTATATGTCCCCTGTCTCCCATTTACCACAAATATATACTGCCAATGGTACTACCATGCATATTACCTACACCGGTCTTGCGTCCTCCCCTTCCCTATATCTTCATGATACATATTGCATCTCTGACTTAGCCTTAAATCTTATCTCTATTGGTCAATTAGTTGAACAAGGTCTTACCGTTACATTCTCTTCTGGTAGTGTGCAGGTTCAAGATTCTCAGACGGGTCAACTTCTCGGGATGGGACGCAAAACGGGTCGATTATTTGAGCTTGAGTCTCTCCATACCTCCTGCACATATCCCCGCTCTGCAGCTCTTACCTCTGATTCCTTTAGTCTTCATTGGCATCTTCGCCTAGGTCATGCGTCTTCTAGTAAGCTCCAGTCACTCCATACTAAAGGTCTTTTAGGTCCAGGTCGTTTTGAGTCTTTTAATTGTGTTGATTGCCAACTTGGCAAACAACGTGCTCTTAGTTTTTCAGAAAGTTCATCTATTGCTACTGAACTTTTTAGTCCATTTTGACATTTGGGGTCCTTCTCCTGTTGCGTCCGTCAGTGGTTTTCAGTATTATGTTATATTTATTGATGATTTTTCACGATTTACTTGGATTAATTTTTTGAAAAATCGTTATGAATTACCTTCTATATATGCTCAGTTTGCTCAGATGATTCACACTCAATTCTCCCGTCCTATTAAAGTCCTTTGTACTGATAATTCTTGTGAGTACAATACGTCATCATTTTTGCATTTTTTATCTAGTCAGGGTACCTTGGTACAACGTTCCTGTCCTTATACGTCCCAACAGAATGGGCGGGCAGAACGCAAACATCGTCACATTCTCGATACTGTTCGTGCCCTCCTTCTTTCTGCTAAGTGTCCTGATCAGTTTTGGGGGTAAGCAGCCTTAACTGCTGTTTACAGCATTAATCGGCTACCCTTGTCAGTCCTCCATGATGTCAGTCCCTTCGAGCGTCTATTTGGTCAGTCTCTTGATTATAGTTTATTCAATCCATTTGGTTATGTGCGCTTTGTCCTCCTCCCTCCCCATGAGCGGACAAAGCTTCAACATCGAGCTTGTTTATGTTTTTTTTTTTTTGTTATGGCGACGAACACAAGGGTTATAGATGTTGGGATCCTATTTCTAATCGGTTGCGCATATCTCGTCATGTCACCTTTTGTGACCGCATATATTTCTCCACCTTATCCAAGTTTAGCACACCGTTTCACTCATCTTCTCCCTTCTTTTCGTCTTCTCTCTCCGATCTCTTCCCAGACACCTCTTCATCTCTTTCACCACAGCTCATTGATCAATCTGTCTTGTCACCGTCTCCTGGAGTTAATCCGTCTGCGCCTCCTGAGCGTCTATTCCTACACCTCTCCCTACTTGTCGTTACTCCACTTGTGTAAGTAAACCTTCTTCACACCTTAATGATTACCATTGTTACTCTGTTATTTTATCTCAACATGAACCTAGGTCCTTTCGTAAGGCAAATGCAGATCCATTATGGCAGCAAGCTATGACTGAGAAATGCAGGCTCTGGAAAAGACTCACACTTGGGATTTAGTAGATTTGCCCTCAAGAAAAACCCCTATTGGGTGCAAGTGGATTTTTAAAATTAAGACACACTCACATGGTTCCATTGAGCGCTACAAGGCTCGTCTGGTGGCCAAAGGTTATTCCCAAGAGTATGGAATTGACTATGATGAGACCTTTGCTCCTGTTGCTCGTCTCACTACTGTTCGTTATCTTCTTGCCGTTGCGGCTGTTCGTCAATGGTCCCTTCTTCAGTTAGATGTCAAGAATGCATTCCTCAATGGCACACTTTCTGAAGAAGTTTATATGACCCCTCCTCCAGGTTTCTTGTCTTCTGAAAAAGTTTGTCGCTTACGCCATGCTTTATATGGGTTGAAGCAGGCCCATCGGGCTTGGTATGCCACATTCAACGCGGCAGTACTGGAGTTTGGTTTTACCACATGTGCTTACGACTCTGGTTTATTTCTTTGTCGTTCTTCATCAGGGATAGTTATACTCCTGCTTTATGTTGACGATATAATCATCACGGGAGATGATGCATCTGGTATTTCTGATCTACAAGCATATCTTAGCTAGCAGTTTGAGATGAAGAGCTTGGGTCCCCTTCGTTACTTTTTTGGGCTTGAAGTCTCTGATTCTTCTGATGGTTTCTTTCTGTCCCAGGCTAAGTATGCCTCCGATCTTCTTGCTCAAGTTGGTCTCACAGCTGTCAGGTAGCATCTACCCACTTGCGTACGACGTTCGAATTACCCCTCATGATGGCTCTCTTCTTGATGATCCTACTCTTTACCGTCAACTTGTTGGGAGTTTGATCTATTTGACTGTCACTCGACCAGATATTGCTCATGCAGTCCATATTGAGAGTCAGTTCATGGCAGCTCCGAGGACCTCTCACCACTCTGTCGTCTTACATATTCTTCGTTATGTGAAAGGTACTCTTCTGCATGGCTTACAATTCTCCTCTAACTCGTCTTTGACTCTCAGCGGTTACTCTGATGCTGATTGGGCTGGTGATCCCATCGATCGACACTCGACCACTGGTTTCTGCTTCTTCCTGGGTGATGCTCTCATTTCTTGGCGCAGCAAAAAGCAAACTTTAGTTTCTCGCTCGAGTGCCGAGTCAGAGTATCGTGCTCTTGGTGACTCTACTTCAGAACTTTTATGGCTTCGACGGCTACTCACTGACCTTGGTGCCACTCAGCCATCTTCTACGGCTCTTCACTTTGATAGTCAGAGTGCTATGAAGATGGCTCATAATGATACATTCCACGAGCGCACTAAGCATATTGAGCTTGACTATCACTTTATTCGACAACATGTTGTCAATGGAGTAGTTTATCTCATTCCAGTATCTTCTGAAGATTAGACAGCAGATATCTTTACCAAATCTTCGATTACTCTTGAACAAACTCAAGTTGGTCTCTACTGCCCTATCTTGAGTTTGAGGGGAGATGTTGAGATATTTTAGATATTCAATTTTAGATTTAGTAGATTTATATCTAGATTTGATCGTATCTATATATTAGATTACTTAGATTTGAGTTTATTTTGTATTTCCTATATATAGGCTTCATATTTTGATAATCAAGACGACCTTCTTATTATTTTCCCAAAAAATTTCTAACACTAATATATGAATATGATCAAATCTAGATATAAATCTACTAAATCTAAATTTGAATATCTAAAATATCTGAACAATATATATACTATTTACAAATAATTTGCTATGGTGTGGCCTTGTAGAATGTGGCAATGTGTGTTTATTTTTGTATTTTTGGAATATGTATTTTTTCAGATTATATATGAAAAATATACATATTGATAATACATAAAATAATATTTTATACTTCTTCATTCCGCCATATTTACGGGTGTATTCAATTGGGATTTTAATGGATTTTTTTTTTTTATTTTAAAAAGTCCATAGATTTATGTGGATTTAGAAAATTCACAGAGTCTACGTTGAGTTTGATGGATTTTAGTAATTGATTTAGATGGATTTCTACGGATTTGATTGAATTCTTTATAATTTTATATGGATTTTGTAGAATTGTAAAATAATTTTTTTGAATATATATTAATTATATAAATTTATATCAACCAACAAATTTTATAAATATAATAAATAATTATTAATATTAATAAATAATATATAAGTATTAATAAATAAAATATATGTATTTACTTTTTATGTAAAAAGGTTATATTAAAATAAATAAATAAATAATATACGATTTTTGAAAAAAATATTAAAATAAATAAATAAATAATATACCATTTTTGAAAAAAATATTAAAATAAATAAAAAATATAAATTAACGGTTCAACAAAAAATATATATTTAAATATCTATTTACGGTTATCGTAATGATAATATAGTGTATTCGATAATTGAAAAGAAAAGACGACAGTAAAATAATAATATTTTTTAAAATTATATTTATAATATAAAAATATATATTTAAAAAAAATCATAATAATTTGCTAATATATTTTAGTTTTAAAATATTATTTTTATTAAAAATTATAATAACAGTAATAAATATTATCGTATTATTGATCACATATACAATAATAATAATAATAATAATTTTAAGAATCCATCAACATCTGTGATGTAAATGAGAGATTCTTTTCTATACAAAATTTTCACCAAAATTCATTAGAATCCATTTATATTAAAATCTATAGACTTTTAAAACCTATGGGTTGTTGAATATTTCAAAAATTTAAAAGATTTTAAAAGTTTATATTGAATACCTTAGGATTTTAAAAGACTTTTATCAGATGAAACTTGCCTTATTACTGTCATTTCAAATAGTAATATTGTATGTTTATTTTAAGATCATTTCCTGTCATATTACTTGACTAATCTATTTTAATTCATTAAAATATACACACAATATTATGATAATATTATTACTCAACTACCTTATTATAAATGAATCATAAATCTCCACATTTTCAACCACATCAAAAATAAAATAAATCCCTTTTTCTTTCAGTTTTCCTTCAACAAGTTATGAACACCAAGTCTCTGTTTGCTTTAATTTTCCTAGCAATTACAATTTTAGGTAAACATACATTTACATTTATACTTATTTGCTTTCTTAAAATTTTAACTCTTAAAAATTGATGGTTTGCAACTTTAACAGCGACGGTAGAGTCGAAAAAAAAACTCCCGCTTTGCGACGTGGACTCAGATTGCTTTCCGGTATGTCCGCCACTTCTGTGTCCCTTCTGCAAATGTCTCAACGGTATCTGCTTGCGCGGCTGCTATCCGCCGAGTAGCGCTGCTAAGGTGGATTCATCGGCTGCTGTAGACATTATTCCCATATATGTGAATAATTAGACATTTAAAAAATTGCATGTATTCATGGAAAATGCAACATATTGAATGGAAATTATGTTATTTTATTTTTTAGATGGTGTATTTGTTTTTGAAATTTTGAAAAATAAGATGAATGAAATAGTATGTTAATATATATATATTTAATAAAAATAGATATAAATATACATATAACATGAAATAATTATATAAAAATAAAACAAGTTAATAGTTTTTGTAATAATAGTAACTAGCAGCATTTTAGGTACTAATTGAGTCAAATCAGTAACTAAACCATATCAATTCTGTAAATTAAATTCACTAATTTCAATGTAAATATATGTTATTTACAGAATTTAATTTAAAGATGTCACAACTTTCCTTACTAATTTTTACAATATTAAAGAAAGTGACATTTTAGATTTCCCAAAAGAGTAAATCAAATAATAGTCAATTAAACAATATAAAGGAAATGATCTTAATATATACAAAACACATTTTTATTTTATTTTCAAGATCACACTAATATGGCAAACTAATTATGATAATATTGTACAATTCCATAGTATAAATTCAATCATAATTCTCAACATTTTCAATCAAACCAAAAATTAAATCAATCCATTCTTTTGTCTTTTGTCTTTCTTCACAAGCAGTTATGAACACCACCAAATCTTTTTTTCTTCTAATTGCTCTGGCAATTACAATTTCAGGTAAAAACACTCATATACATATAATTATGTACATTTATATATATATATATATTTTTATATTTTGCTTTCTTAAAATTTAAATCATCGAAATTTATGATTTGCAATATTTTTAACAGCAGCCGTGGAGGCGAAAAAAAATCTCCCGTATTGCGACGTGGACTCGGATTGCTTTCCGGTGTGTCAGCCGCCGCTCAAGTGTCCCTTCTGCAAATGCCTCAACGGTATCTGCTTGCGCGGCTGCTATCCGCCGGCCACCGCTGCTAATGTCGATTCGTCGGCTGCTGTAGACCTTCCCATATATATGAATAATTAGACATTTGAAATTTTGCATGTAGGTATTCATGGAAAAAGCAAAATATTGGATGAAAATTATGTTATTTTGATTTAAAGCAATTAAATTGTTACTCATACTTTTATTAAAAGTGTCTTTTTATGATCATAGAATTATTGAGAAAAATGCAATTTTAGTTCCAAATATATGTCGGTGGGTTGATCCAAAATTAATTATTCCTTTCGTTCACATATAAAATTTATATTTATTTTTTACATGTTAATTTTTTAATATAATTATTATACTCCCTCCATTTTATTTTTCATTTGCGTCCTAAAATAAGGGTACTATTTTTTAATTTATTAATTGTACTATCTACCTAAAATAATAAATATCTTTCCAACGTACAATATATTACACAAATTCTACTGACTTTATATTACACAATACTAATAAGGGTATTGTCGTCTTTTTTACTATAACTCAGTATAATACTAATATTAAAAAATTTACGTGTAAAAAATAAACGTTACTCTCTATATGAGATGAAAGGAGTATTAAAATATAATAGAAATTAAGAAAAATAAGACAAAAATAGTTATATTAATATATTATAATATAATTATAATGACATTTATATAATAAAATTATATAAATATAATGATACGCTAAATATTAAATATAATAATATAAAAAAAATAAATATAAATCTCAGAGGGGGTTATATTATACTTCTTCTAATCCGGAAGAATAGTTTTATAACTTTTGGACACTTAAGGAATGTTTGGCAAATAACTTTTTGAAGAGCTTTCAACTTATTGAACAGTTTTTACCTGTTTGATCAGTTAAAAAGTTAATTTAGGTATTTGATAAATTAGTTTTTGGAATAGCTTTTTGGACCCAAAAGCTAATTTTTGAAAAGTTAACTTACCCAAAGTTTTTTTTCTGTAAAAAAATTTTTATTCCTTATATACCCTTAAAATTTTTTATGCATTTTACACAAATAAATATATTTTGATTATTTATTAATTATATTATAATATTTTATTATAATATAGTTTTACTTTTATAAATTTAAAATAATTAATTTTTATATAAAAATTATTTTAATTGTAAAATATATAAATTTATTAAAATCAATATAAAATAAAAAATATTAATATTAATAATTTATTTTTGTATTAAGATTACATTATATAAATTTTATACTAAAAATAAATTAAATAAATTAAATTTATTGAAAATTATAAATATAATGAACTAATCGATAACTAACATAATAATATATACACGAAAAATTTATTATTTTATATTTTACATCATTTTCAATAGAAAAAACTATTTATATATTTTAATAAAAATATATTATTTTTTTAAATCTAACTATAATAAAAATAAATACTTTTATAACACTTTTACAATTTTCAATAACTAATAACAAAAAATTTTAAATATTATAAACTCAAAAGAACATAATTGAATATATTAGAAATAAAATAAAATAGAAATGTCCTCAATTGTCATTTTACGTATAAACAGCTAATATCGAACAGTTGTTTTACCAAACATTTTAATACAAACAGTTAATCGAATCAGCTAATCAAACCAACTAATTGAATTAGGTAACAGCTATCAGCTAATTGAGTCAGCTAACAGCTATCAGCTAATTGTGCCCTAAATTTAAAAAATACTCCATCCGTCTATTTACAATGTTTACATTTACTTTTGGCGCGGTGTTTAAAAAATAATAGTATTTTAATTATAATGAGTAGTTAAAAGTAATGTAATGACATTTTTGCCCTTACTTTTTTTTTGTGTAAAAGTAATGATGTGATGTAAAGTAATGGTATTTGTGAAATGAAGCAGGGTATTTAATGAAATGTTAACTTTGTAATTGGACGTCTCAAAATAAAAATTTGTAAACATTATAAATATACGGAGGGAGTAATAAATATTATATTGGAAAGAATATATACAGGGGATGTTCTTTTCTAAAATTTCATCATATTTATACAATTCAATCAAAATTTTTTTTTTCTAAAAAATATCAA